AAACGTGTATGTTAATGAATTCCAATCATTCGTAAATGGGGCGAGCGTGCACGCTCATTCACAATTACCGTAATCCCCTCCCATGAATTCCGACTGACATCATATTATGAAACAAAAAAAAGGATTTCAACATGTCCTCTCAAAAGCGAATGAAAAAGAAAATAATATTTTTCCAAAAATATGCATTTTGTTGTCGGAAGTGCATTCAAAACGCAGCATTTTATTTTCAAGCGTACATAGTGGAGTATCAGGTCTTAAAGAAAAGTACTTGAATGCAGCAAATGACACTCCTTGGTCTCCCCTTACCCTTATGTAAAAAATAAATAAATGAAATATATTTACAGACATACAATTTGTGTCTTTCGTTTCTTTCTTGTTACAATGCACACCTTGATGGTAAATCTAATTTTTGAACTGCTTCTGAGAAGAAGTGGTAAGCTGTTGATGCCTGGTTGTTATTTGCTGCATTCAAGTACATAACCTGAAAATACAAAGACCATACAAACCAATTTGGGATTTACAATTATGTACACTTACAATTATTTAATGGACAAGCATATAATGGTGAACTACAGTTCATTTGAGTTATAGCAACAAGTTGACTATTAGTTTTATTTTATTTGTATTTTGTTAAGTTAATATAACCCATTTTTGTATGAAAAACAATTTTGGTAGATTTACCATGCTAATAACCGTGGAATTACAATCTATACAAAGGGTTTATGTCGTGTTTTATCTTTGTAACATCACAAGATTGCAATCACTAGTAAACAGAAGAATTTATGATAATAAACGTTCTGCTAAAGATCTATTCTACTGACAAAGCATGCAATGAATTTTCATTAAAACAGCCATGTTATATTTATTAAAAAAATTAAAAAATAAATGACCATTTACATGCATCTGGACCATTAATAAAGCCATTTCTCAGGTCACATGTGAATTATGGATCGCCTTTTCACAGGCGTCCAATCACAGCTGACTTCCGGAAAAGGGGAAGTAACCAATGGCGTTTAAGATGGACCTTTTTCACATTTCCGGGTTTCTCAGCAGCAGAAGTCGTCATAGTTGAGTTAACTTGAAGAGCAGTGAATGGAAGAGTACCACAAATATCGCTTCCGGTTCAAGCATTTTGCATATGCTTAGTTAAATATGAAGCAGTTTTACTCAAGATGCCTTCAAAGTAGATACCAATGATGATCATAACCAATGACCATCACATATGCAGACTGATATCTAAAAGTTTTTTTTTTTTAATTCTTTTCACATTTAGATATAATAATTGAATAAAACGTCAACAATAAAAACAGCTAGCTAGTTTAACTGATTATCTTAAAAGTCCATAGATATCGCTATTACTGAATACGGCTGTTAACACGTTCTCCGACAAGCGGAAGCAATGAGACCTGTTTTCCGGGTTTGGTCAGGTGATGTTCGACATATACCCTACTGGTGCACTCGGTTCTTTTTGGCATTGATTTGCCGGCATACATGAATCCCAAAATGTATGTCAGAACAGCTTTATGAACGATTTAATCAAAAATTTGTTCTGCTCGTCTTTCATGAATGAGGCCCAATGATTTCAAACTACACTTTCTAAGGTTTGTCTCATGCAGATGGTGCTAGGAAGTATAATCAAGTTTCAGAAATCATGAAACTTGCTAATGCGAAGTATTTTAGTGAATGTATTATAATTTTTTTTTTTAGGAAAGGCTGGTGACCATTCACTTGCATTTTATGGACCTACAGAGCTGAAATATTATTCTAAAAATGTTTGTTTGCCAAAGAAAGTCAGTAATAAAGTCATCTGTGTTGCAAATTTGCATTTTTGGGTGAACTGTACATTTGAGAGAATTACAAAACATTCAGGAAACATGGATCTTTTCGTCTGATAATTAGCTGTATGTTGTTTTTGACATCACTGTTGCAGACTTCTGAGCTTTTGGTGAATGCAGGACAGATGCGTTCAGCCCTGGAGAAACAGAAAGACATGCAGGAGCTGGAGTTGCTGAGACAGAAAGAACTGGCAGAAAAACGCAGCCGCACACTATTGAGAGGTGCCAGGTGAGAGAATGTAATCATATTGGGCATAGGTCATGATGGTGGATTAATTAATGTAACTGGTGCTATTGTTTTTTTTCATTTATTTGCTTGCATTTTTCTTTTTTACTGAAACATCAGGCATAATGAGCAAGATGAGAAAGTATGTCAGTATATGTTAATGTATTCCATTTGTATATATTCTTTAACGGGGTGAATTCTTTGAATGATTTTGAGAGTTGCCTCTTTAATTTTATTACATTTTATTATCTATTCACTATAATCAATAAGGTCTAACACCAGCCGGATATTAGATATACTGTATGTCCTTCATAAACTCAGACTTGCATTCATCTGTAATTTGATGAAGTTCCTTGTTTAGTCATCCAGCAACCACTATATAGCTCATTTTTATTCATTTATTTTTTGCATCATTCAGAGATATCATCTTGAAAAGCTTTCATCAGTCATTATCAGGGGATTTGATCTCTCTTATTTTTGCAATACCTAATTTTATTTTATTTCATTTAATGTAATTTCTGCATCACATAAAAATTCGGTTTTAGCAAATCAATGATTG